GACACCCTTAAATAACTTATTAATTTCTTGGTGACTCATTTCTTCTCTTGTAAATTTGAGGGCTTAGCTTCCTCCAAGGTGGCAGATTCACTTGCTCATGGTGGCGATATCCAAATTGAAGAAGATTCCTCTTTCCTATTTTTTCCCCTTCTCATAACTCTGGGCATGATTTTAATCATAAATACAAGCATGACTTAATCAAATAAAGATGTATTCAATTTTCCAAAAAGGCTAAGAGCTCTACTAAATATTAGTAGGTTCAAAAACATTTCCCACAGCACTGGACCTTTATCGGAGCACATTTCAATAAAGGCCGCCTTTGGCATAGATCTCTAAAAATACAGTAAGGGTCACTGCTATTTGGAAAAAAAATTCAGTTTTCCTCTTTTTCCCCCTCCTCCTTCCCTTCATATCAGAAGGCTTTATCCCTTTCCTATTCCGTGTGATATTGCTGTCCCATCTGAAGTCATATCACGATCACACCAGTATATGCTCTTTGGAGTCTGTGAACATAAGAGAAGTCAGGGGTAGGAGGAGGACAGGACGGTTTTATGTTACCACCATTCATCACGGCTCTGACAGACTATTCTGTAGAGAGGGGAAGGAGAGAGCCGCCTTGCCAAACTAAACATGATTTCCACAGAAGCTCGGGTGTCTTGACTCTCCCAGGCAGGGAGAAATCAACAGATGCAGAACCCCAGATGAAACTAACTCTGAGCTTGCTCCCAGAAATGCTATCTTAGGTCTTTCCCGCCTGGGATTCTGACTCTAGAAAGAGTAACCATCTATAAGTATGGGACAGAATGACCCCCAACCTTAGGATATGTTTCAAATCTGTGATGCCCATGGCGAATGACCGCATCTGAATCACAAGGAGAGCTCTTAGAAACCACATCTGCCCACAGGGAAATCTTTTCCTCTCCAGGGACAATCAGAATCTCCAGGAAAGAGGCCATGGGGCAGGCCTTGTAGAAGCTCCCCCACGGCTTCTATAGGAAGGGGAGTATCTCCTACACCCACATGGCAGTGCACATGAGTACACACCCACATACTCTTCCCCTGCATAAAATCAGTGTCCTGAATAATCCTGATAAATCATCCATATAACCATCTAAACACCCTGAAAACCTCTTCTAGTGATCCTATCTTTCTTCCTCTAGGAAGTAGACTGTCAGCTATGAGTTAAGTAATATAGTAATCAAAGGGCATCTAGAAATTTCAGAGGTTTTGTCCTTCTGAATAGTTGAGCTCTCCAAATAGCTAAAGATCTGTCCATTTAAGTCTTTTATTTTTCAAAATAACCTTTAAGCAATTTTGGATATAAAACTCTTTAGCATTTTATGGCATGTGTTCAAGTTATTACCCAAATATAATTTAGCCTCACCTACGTAATTCAAGGCTATTATCATAAGCATCCATTTCTGTCCCCTGACAGAAGGGAGTTTTATACCAGGGAGTTTTACCACTGAAGGCTGCAAAGACTTCCAAATGCGCAGAAGGCAAGTGGAAAGTTGGAGAAAAACAAGCCAAAATTGGATTTCCAAGGAGGCCACAGCAGGTATCAGAAGACAGGTAGGGTGCCACAGAGACAAAGATTGGGTTAACTACAAACAGGATAAGATTTAGGAAAATTGTCCGTAAGAGACATTGCATTCTGCGACTTGATCTTCTGAACTGGCATCACTCAGGTGCACTGGCAAACACTCCTCCTATCAGAGTGTCTTCCTCCAGCACTCCTTCCTATCCAGTGCTTCAAATTTCTTGGTCCCAGAGAGGACCAAAGGCTGCCTTTCCAGTGATTCAGTTGCATGTCTGCTGTGTCTTCTGTGAGGTGTTCAGGGATCTCTCTGACTTACTTCCGGACCTTGGCTGTGTTTCAGGAGGTTAGACTGCAGCATAGCTGAGCTCCAGATAGATAAGGAGATGTTAGTCTTCCTTATTTTCCTTAAAACTACCTCCTTCCCAGATTCCTGTGTTCAGTGACATTGAACAAACCCAAGGTCACAGTCTCCATTCAATGGGCTTCCATCTTGAGCTGTATCTTTTCCAATTGCTGTTGTTCAGCCTCTAAGTCGTCTCTTTGAGACCTCATGGACTATAGCCTACCAGGTTCCTCTGTCCAGGCAAGAATACTGGAGTGGGTTGCTATTTCCTTCTCCAGGGGATCTTCCCAACTCAGGGATCGAACCTGTGTCTCCTGCTTGGCAGGCAGATTCTTTACTGCTGAGCCACCAGGGAAGCCCCATCTTTTCCAATTTGGGGACTTTAATTGGAACAGAGCTTGCTGCTCATGTCATGGGGCGGCCAGTGCTGCAGTAATCTCTGGGAACGTACACAGCCTTTGAGGACTCATTAAGGTCCTCTAAATTCCAGCCTCCAAGTACAGATCCCCTCCTGGAGATGAGACGGCCTCTGGGAGGAAGATAAACCATCAGTATTCCACTATCAGAGGTCACACCTCAGGGCAAAAAGTCAGGAGCCAAAGAATAATAGTGATTTAGCAGCTTACATTACAGGCAACAAAACTTAACAAACCTTGCCTTCAATTAACTGAAGTCACATGTCACATAATTAAAACAGGGCCAGAGAGCACAATCCATCTGTACAGGGAGGCATGTAAGAGCATCTTAATTGAAAAAAGAAGAAAAAGGAGGACAGGGAATCATGTTTTTAATTTTCAAATCATCTTATAATATCTCTGACTAACTTTGATCAAGCTGCTTTTTCAGAGAACTCAGTCTTTGCTTTCCCTCTAAATATCACTCCACCCTCTGGCCGGCCTAGTTTCTCTTATTTTTCTTCTATTCTGGCTGATTTTGAGGCAAAGAGGTAGGAAAGGATTTGCTACAAACAGCACATGTGGTAAGGAGTGAACACTGGGGAGTCAGAGTTGGACTTGTATCCCAGCCCTGCCCCCTCCTAGCTCTGTGACTCTGGCCAAGTGACTTAATTTCTCTGTGACTCAGCACCTTCTTCTGTAAAAAGAAGAAAGAATACAGCAGTAGAAAGAATATTTTAACTGGGTGAAGGTGGTCCAAAGGCACAAGCTTCCTACAGCTGTAAGATGAGTAAGTTCTAGGGATGTAATATACAACACAGGGACCATAGTTAGCAATACTATATGGAATATTTGAAAGTTGCTACTAGAGTAAGTCTTAGCAGTTCTCACCACAAAGAAAAACAGACGTGTGAGTATGTGAAGCAAAGGGTGTTAACTGAACTTATTGTGGTGATCATTTTGCAATATATACACATATTAAATCCTTATATTGTACACCTTGAACTAATACAATGTTATGTGGCTATTATATGTCAATAAATGGGGGAAAAAAGATGCCTCATCATGCAAACTTCATAGCAGAGCTGTGAGAACAGAGATAGCATTAATAAAGGGCTTAGCAGAGGGTCTGGTACACAGAAAGGTGACTCTGTCTGATGCTTTTAGAACATGCCTTAAAATTCGAAAGTCTCCAAGGAAGTTACCTGAGGATCCATTATAGTAAGAATCACTTTTCATGAACACATATGTAACTAGTATTTGAAAACTCTTAACAGCTTTAACTTCATTCTCGAGATTTCATAACCAACATTTATTTGTATGATAATTTTTCCAATTTCCTAATAAATGCAAAGAGAAGTCTTCACCAAATTTCCAAACATTTACAATCCAGGACAATTAGAGGTTTCCACCTATAGATGTCAATTCCTCTCATTCCCTCAGATATGCCCACTTCTCAGTCTTATTGTCTCACACGTTTCCTCTGTAACACTGGGTTTCTTGGGTCAGTCCTTGACCTTGTCTTGTCTCCCTTTATATACCTTCCCTGGAGGGCAACCCTCTCCCTGAGTCTTTCCTCACCCCCTAGCACTGAGCACCATCTCTATAGTACCTTCTACAGGCCCCTTCAAGGGAGACCCTGTTTTTGCACAGGTGACTCCTTCTGTCAAGAATGACCATCCCTCATCCTGCTTTAACAGACGCTTCTTGAGGCCCCACCCAAACATCAAGTCCATAGTGAAATCTTTCCAACTCTGCCCCCTACATACCGTGTTTATATGACACTATGACATATTCATTATGACCATGTCTGCCTCCCCTACTAGACTCAGGGCTTTTAAAGCAATGCTTTCATGTGCATCAGAATCCCCTAAAGATCTTGGGTCATGCTGATGCCACATGAGTAATAAGCTATTAAGAACATCTCTCACCTCTCGGTAACTTGGTATCATCACCATCATCATCACCATCATTCATCACCATCATCACCATCATCATCACCATCATTCATCACCATCATCACCATTATCATCACCATCATTCATCACCATCATTACCACCACCATCATCACCATCATCATGCATCACCATCATCATCATCACTATCATCATCATCATCTTTCGACACAGCTGCCCAGCAGCTGTACTTAGGGAGATGAGATGCCAGGGCTGCCTGAAATAATGGAGGGCAGAGGTGAACAGAGGATGTGCATTTGGTGGGGGATGGACTGGAAAGCCTGAGTAGAATCAGAGAGGAAGAGGAAGCTGGATGAGGTTAGTGAAGAGACAGGAGGTAGCAAAGACGGGAGGAAAAGAAAGTAAAAAGGATGGAGAGGAGACAACAGGAAAGGAAGAAAAGGAGAAAGAGATGGCCATCAGACGAGAAAAGAAAGGTAGCTGACTTCTCTCCTTGGGGAGGGATTGGTCTTGCACCATCTGACTTTCCAGAGTAGGGGGTGAATTTCAGGACTGGAGCCTTCCAGAGGATGGTCATTCCAGCCATTTATGCTCAGAGCGTCCCCCATTCACATTAAAGGCTCTGCCTTCCTCAGCAACTCAGGAATGAGCTGTCACTGTGAGAGGAATAACAAATGACGGCCTGTCCCATGATTGTGAGTATATAAAATGTCATATCAGTTCAGAAAAATCTCAGTCTGTAGTTAAGTCCTTTACCCTAAGACTTAAAATTCATTGTCCATTCAAACAACCCAAACAAAATTACCTGATACAGCTCGATCCGTTGTTCAGGCACTCTGGCTTTTGGGTTCTGTAAACGAAAGACTCTGAACTCGGCCTTCACCAAATTGGAAGCATTCTTCTCCATCGCAGAGACGTCAAATCGGACAATTCTAAAGTACGGTCTGTAGAAAGTGGGCGGGATGGCATCTGTAAAAAGTTAGAGCAATCACTGAAAATGATAAAAATCCATTGTTCTCTCACAAAAGACCCTGCAGCATTAGACAGCCTTAAGAAACCATACGGGAAATATCTATAGAATGATTTCGTTTCCAATGGCCAATTTAATATCATTAACAATTGAACTAGGAAAAAAAATAAACATGTGCATTTGGTTACAGGAGTAGCCAATTAAAAGGGATTAACAAACCACTTCCAATTCCATTTGAGGGCATGAAGTTAACCCTCTCCTTTGAAAGTTGACAGAATGGTGGAAAATCCTAAATGGTTATGAACTGGAACAAGTTTATGACAGCTGATGCCTGGAGAAAGCTGTCAGGCTTGCATACACTTTAATCAAATGTGCCAAGAAAATAGTTCCTAATGGCAAGCAGTTTGCCCATGTATTTTTTCCCTTGAAATTTTGGCACCCAAACACTCTACTCTCTCCAGGTTCATGGACTGCATCTTTTTTGGCTTCTATAATTTGGTCTTTGACACACACAGGACCAAATACACCCTCTAGTGAAGCTAGGGTGAGGACAGTTGAACGAAAATACACACATAGTGGTGATACCAGGTCCAGTCTTAAAATTCTTTATTCGGCATAAATGCTCACGGGTGGGAGGGAATCCTAGTGAATGAAGAGAAATAATCAACCCCAAGGCCTTCTGCTCTGAGCCATGAAAAACACAGATTTGCAGACAGCCCACGACAATTTCAAGTTCATGGGCTGCTAGAATGTTGCTGTTATTTTGAGGTAACCTGTCTTTGCCTTTGGATATATAACTTGAGGTTAAAACAAAACCAAAGCAAGTTTGAATTCTACCCCCATACTTCCTATACAACACCCATTTATTAAGTACCTACACTGGGCAGACTAGCTGTTACAGGTATGTTTCTATAGTATAGGTAGAATAGGTATATTCCTACAATACTCTTTGAAAATCTCCTGCAAACTTACTTTCATTATTCTGGAATGTACCAACCAACTCTGGTGGTTCAATGATGTTCTACCCCCTCCTCAATTATGTCACTTCATTACAACATAATCATTCTCAGTTTTTATGGCCCCTTACAAATGTTTTCTTTTCTTGGGGGGGAGGGGTGGAATGGGGGGGGGGGCTTCCCTGGTGGCTCAGATGGTAAAGAATCTGCCTGCAATGGGGGAGACCCAGGTTCAACCCCTGGATTGGGAAGATCCCCTGAAGGAAATGGCTACCCACTCCAGTATTCTTGCCTGGAGAAGAATTCCATGGATAGAGGAGTCTGGAGGGCTACAGTCCACTTACAAATGTTTTTATTATTTTGCTATTATGCTTGCTTATTTTGTTTTCCCCAGTGAAATTTTAAGAATCCTGAGGACTGACAGTATTTTCCATATATTTTTCCGCACCTACTAGAACAGGAGTCTGCACATATGAAGTTCACCCAGTATCCACTGTTTGTTTAGTTGGTCATCAACAGGAGTTTTGAAAGACTTAAGCATCTGGTTATTGGCAAGACTAGCTTCTTATTAAATAAATGTACCATCTCACTGATCTTAAAATAGAAATAAATACCTTTCATGATTTCCTGGGAAATCCTTGCTCTGGGATGATTACACTGAAAAATCAAATGCTACAAACACACCAGCATTTCATCATCTTAAGAGCTCTGCACTTTTTCCCCTCACAGAGTCTTTTCCCCATCCTTTCCCCATGTCCCATGACTCTCAGAAAGCATTTCATGGGGAAGTGATGCATTTCAAACCATGCTCTGCTTGATGACTGCTTCACAAACGACTGTGTGAACGGAAACTTTGTAGATCCAAAGTCTCAGAAACAATCAAACAAACCAACCTCCCCAAATCTAAAGCATCCAGGTTTCAGAGAAAAGAACCCAATTGTGCAGACACAGGGCTGACGCACTGCATCATTAATGTGAAACATTTCCTGGACAGTTTCAGGAGGGCAAACATTCACCCAGGCAGAAAGGTCATGGGAGCCGCCAGCACAGCAGTTTGAAAAGGTAGCTGCACCAACATTACTTGTCCTTGCCCCCTGTAAGATCATTTGTGAATGAGATACTGAGATGAATGAACCAAAATGTCATTCAGTTACCAGTGAGGGATCCTTCCTAGAATCTGCAGTGATGTTGGCCACAGCCCCCAAATCCAAATTTGTTATAGTTTGGATTTACATTGCTGTAGCATCTGCCTTTGGCAAAAAAGCAATGCCTACTGATATTTTTGGTTGTTTTAAGATTGAAATATAAAATGCAGCAGATAGTACCATTAAAAATCCAACCACCTGTGTAAAGAAAAAAGAAATCAACCTTTCTGCTGGAACATGACCAGCCCAGGATGGGACCGGCCCAGAACAGGCTGGTCCCATCCTGACAGCTCAGCTGAAAATAGGCTGGGAATCCAGGCAGAGAGGCCTGGGAGGAGGGCTTCACACACTCTCCAGGTTGGCCAGAACCTTCCACAGGCCTAGTTTCTGCATTTATCTTCTCATAGCCTCCCCATTAGAGAGCAGAAGCTTCAAATATGCTTGGAAAGAGCATCCTGAAAGGGCAAGCCTGCTTCAGTGGGTTTCCTGTCATTAGAAAGAGTAAACAATCTTGTCGGTTTCCCCTTTCCTTTCAGTGGAAACCCCCCCCTCCACCCTGGGGGCCTACACTACTTCCACAGACATGCAGCATTCACACCCGGCCACCCCAATCTTATCCTTCCATCAAGTTTGTAAATAAGCGCTCTTGAGATTTATTTTTATTCTCTTTTGTGTTTATTAAACTTTGAACAATTTTTTTCCCTTTCTGGTCATCTGCCCGTACACACACTTGCTTTTTATGGCTGCTTCAGACCAGGAGGTCAATTTTGTTTCTCCTTCTTCTAAGCAAATCATCCAATGATCCAGTCCTAGGCGTTCGAGCTTTGAAGGGGTGTTTGCAAATATTTACGGGCGTCACTGGCTAGTTAAGTACGTTGTTCTCTTCTGCTCCCTATAAGCTGGCAATCAGCCCTCCTCCCTTCTGGCCATGATATCCGTGTTGGCTGTTTTGACTGCCTGATAATATAAATCCACATATCTGGTGCTCATTTTATAAGTCAAAGCTGTTCACGGAGGAGGAGAAATGACAGTTAGACATCCCTTCCCTCCCCACCAGTGCCTGGGCTTTGCACTCATGACGCCGCGAAGGGACCAGGCCAGCAGGACACAGCAGCCTTTCCCAAACCCCTGCTCCAGCACCCAAGAGCAGGAGCTCATTGGATAAAGACTGGTAACTCAAGAACTGACTACCACTTCTAAGGGTCAGTCCCAGCTGTCCCCAGCTGTCTTCTGCTATGGGTGACTGGCCCCCAGCCTGGCTAAGGTACTTGAGCAACTTCCCAAATACTTCTGCACTGGAGGAAAAAATAAAAGTCACAGCAAATTGCTCAGACCCAGCTCATGATCCTGCCCTTACCTCATAGAAGCTCTCAGAGGCAAGGTGCAAAGAGCTGAACACGGCCCTTCTATACCAGCCTGGTGCTGAGGCTCCTTTCCCGTGCTCGTGTTTAATGGCTTGATCCAACCACCTGGCCTGGGAGGGATGCAGATTTTTTCTCCACCTTCTGCAAGGACTTGTGTCCCCCTTTGGAATGGGAGCTCTCTCTAAAGGCCTCTGATGTTTCAACTCAGCTTCTACCCCATTGCGAGGTATTCAAGGACTCGGGTTTGACCTTTGCCAACTTGCCCTCATTTATCCTAGCTGGCACTCTCCTTTCAATGTCTGACCCACTTTTTCTTTGGTTCCATCAAATGCACCTTCCGCCAGCTCTGTGGATTTCAGACCACCACACTGGTTCTGCTCCCCTACCCTACCTCTCCCTCCCCACCCCACCTCCCACTGTCCCATATGCTTTCCTGTCTCAAAAAGGCTTGCACCTAGGAGATTCCAGAATGTCACCCAATGAGCAGTGTTCCCCTCACCTCAAATCCCTGCTAAATCCCACATAGGAGAATAGACAGAGGGGGAAAAAAAAGGAGGAAGTCTAACTACTGATTTCTAAAGTCTAGTACCTTAGAAATAAAGTACACAATAAATGTAATGAGTTTGAATAAACTCCAAACCATCCCTGCTCTCCCCATTCTCCAGCCCTTGGAAGAATTGTCTTCCACAAAACCAGTCCCTGGTGCCAAAAAGGTTGGGGACCACTGGTGTACAGAATGCCCCAGTGATAGCGTCTCATCACAAGCTACTTTCATAAGCATTCTAGGTCGACTTGTCATCTGTTCCAAATAACTTATCAACTCATTGTAAACTGTCTCCTCCCCATGTTAGCACCTCGTGGTCAGCAATCTTCACTTAAGAGTCCTTCGGTTCCCCATGGCCCAGGGATGGCTTCATGGGCATGTGGTCATGGCAGTTGTACCAGTTCCCAAGCTCAGAAAAGGCTCACACTGGAATCTGATATTCTATGGTTGCCATCTTCAACCCCTTGATCATTTCACCTTTGAATTTAGGCTTCAAATGTGACATCTACTGGGACAACGGGGATGGAGTGGGGGCATGGAGCCTCACTCATGTGCTCTGCCACCCTTCCATACTCCTGGCCTCCCCAGAATTGGTGCTGGGCCCCCTGCCCCCCCGCCCAGAGAGCTGGTGCCAGGCACCCATACCCAAAGCATCTCAGATAGGGCATGGAGGCAGCTGTTTCAACCGAGGCTGGCAATGCAACAGCACAATCACTCACAACTCAGTGGGAGCAGGGACCGAGTCTTGCCACAGTCCCATATAATTATAGGATCTGCATGTAGGGGCTCCTTTAAGGCCACATGAATTTTAACCCCAAATCAAAAAAGTCTTATCTATGTGGCAACAGAGACAGCATTTAGCTTTTCAGAGCCTGTTTCTTCATCTATATAACAAGGTAAATAATCCCCTACTTCATATGTACTGACTCAGGTTGTCAGGATCACACAAATGAGCAGACGGAACAGTTGAGAACTGAGTCTAGAACAAAT